AACCATGGGGAGGGAGTGAAGTGACAGCAGCGATCGGGTGCAGAAGAGGTGAAACCCCGCGAGTCGGAAGACCGAGTTTTCCGTCTGTTATTGTTATTGTTAGTGAAGTTGACGGTAATTTTGAAGTTAGTTTATTCCTGATCCGCATTTAAAGTTATACCGAGGTGAATAAAAGTTGGAAGCTGAAGAAAGAGTTTGATACCCGGCCATCCACGGTACAATATCATATTTTTTTAAATTATTTTGCAAACATTTCAGTAAATGTATCGTAGAAAAAATATATTCTTTCGATGCAAAAATTAATATATGGTTTCTCAACTATTACAGCAAGTAGTTTCCTCATTTTTACATTGTGAGTGGCTAAATCACATACTACCATCTTTACAAGAAAACCAGTGCCTGAAATTTTTTCAATAGAATCTATTATTATTTCTTTGAGTACATCACCTGGCAATGCGTCCTTACTTAAAAAATAACCTACTACTTGCTTAAAATTAACATAAATATCCTTAAGCATTATGGATGGCCTGTGAGTGCCAAAATTCTACAATCCATCAAATATTTCTTGAGATGAATGTTAAGAGAGACATTCCTGTAACGACATTTCATCAAATACGACAGAAACAACATTTTCTTCTTTCTTAATTTATCACATATCATCTTTAGTAATTCCAACACGACATGTTTTAAACCACGTTTTAAATGCATCCCAGATAACCAAGCACGTAAAGAATTAATGCTAGGAAGACATAAGTAAGTTTGTAAAAAGGTATAAGATTTAGTCGAGCAATAAAACAAAGCAAGTGCAAACTCTTTCTCATGATCTGTGTAACGCCTACCGTTTTTTTTTCGTTCCAACTAATATAAATTTGACTCTCAACAAATTGAATGCAAACTGTTGTCACGCCAGGTGCCTTCATACCTTTGTTTACAGTTAACTTTTTTAACTTTCTCGGCAATAGCTGATTTTGTTTTCTATGCTTTTAAACAAGTGTAGTTTTATATTTTAGTTTCTTCCGTAAGTTATCGACCCTTCGTTTTAGTTCACAAATTTCCACGTTTAATGATTCCGATTCGGACGATAAATAATTTTGAGCCGGTAAACACACCGCATTTGGACCGTATTCTTAAATTTTAATTTTTTTTGTAATATTGTGGTCAGTAATTGCTTCTCGTATCATACGTTTTGCGTTTTTTTGATTAAATAACTTTTGCGTTGGTATAGATCCAGGAAGCAAACCTTGACTAAACAAATTTTTATTGTAGAAGCAACTTGTATCAAAATGATCCGAACATACTACGTATGTTTGGTAAAAGTAATCGCTATTTTCCGATTTTAATACCAGATCTAAATCCTTCCGTTTGCTAGCAATTATCCATTATTTTAGTCTGCAAATAAAATTGAAGAATTGTTATTTATAAACTGAAAAATCAACTTAATTGTAAACTTACAGATTAGCATCTTTTGGCATCCTGAAAAATAATTTTGTTTCCCCTTTCTGTTGTTTATAATTATTACAACCGTATACTGCACAAACCAAACCAAGTTTGTTAACCATTGTTTTAAGAAATTGCACAAAACCACTACTGAATATAACAAAATACGATAAATGACAATGTCATATGACAAATGACATAGTCAATCAAAACAATCAGCCCTGTGCTGTAGCACTTACGTTAACTTTAACGTGCATGTTATCCGTCAAACACGTTATGTGGCTCCAACTGGTGTGTTGTATCAGTCAAACCGTTATATTATAACAGGTGCACGTTATCGACGAACGTTATATTAAGAAATAGCGCTTCAGAATAACAGTATCAAATCACATGCCGCTGTCGAACTTAACGTGCGTCTGTAGAAGTTAAGCTCGGAGGAATAAATAAAACAATTGTGTTTAATCAGAGCGTAGTTTTATGTTTTAGCTATAATTTGTTTTTAATTTAAAACAAAAATATGTCTTTTGTTGGTCTTAAAAGGTTAGCTTTATTAGAACAATTAGTAAATAGTCTTGAAAATAAACTTTATTTTCTTCCACAAGCTCTACTAAATTTTCAAATTATTTGTAGGTTGTTTTTTTTGCCTCTTCTGTACATGCTCCATTGAAAGTGTTTGAGAAGATATGTCAAGAACAAAAACGAATGAAATTGAAAGTGAATGCAAATCATAAACAAAGACAAGTATGGTAGTAGATGGGCCAAATGGTCAAAACGTGCACGTGTGGTGCATATGTTTTAGAAGCTTCGATGGTTTGATGTTAACTCTCTCTCTAACTAATGGACCATTCGTATAAGGGCGTCTCACTTTATGCATCCAATATTTTTTCGTTTTTAAGGTTTGTTGGATAACTGGGTCGGAATCGCATACGTTAACTGGGGATAGGGCACACCTCGGTTGTGTTGCTGCGTTATCGAAAATGTTATTCTGAACTGATAAGTTGCCATAACGTGTGGCCGTTAAAAATAGCATTTATGATACAGCACAGGGCTGAATGTCTGTTTTGCTTGAGAAATTCAATAGTCGTGTTCTGTCACGTCGTGGCGATGTTAATTGGCCACCTCCATCATGTGATTTGACACCGTTGGACTTCTTTCTTTTTGGATATTTAAAAGAAAATCTGTTGGTCAATAGGCCAAGAACAATTCAAGAGCTAAAGAGTGAGATAATTCGGTACACTAATGAAATTGAACTTCGATGATGGCTCAGTATCATTGAACATGTGGGCTGTCGGAGAGCGGTATGCCACCGAAGCCGTGGTGAGCATTTTCCCGATATTTTGTTTCACCCATAATTGTTATAGATCCTTCTACCATAATACAAAATATTAAGATAATGGTTTGAAAAGTGTTTGCTTTATTTACAATTAACATCGTGCGTCTATATTGGATCACCCTTTAATTTAAATTCGTTTAATCATAAAATTTGGTTGAAATTTACACCTAAATCAGATAAAAATAAAATCTTTACGACTAGCACCCTTACACGCGCACTAAATTGATAGTTTAAAACATAAAGAACCGTATGCATAAAAGATGAAACGACGTATGTAGGAGCACTTGAAAAAGACTTGAAAAATATCACTTTGCCTTCCCACATACATAAAATATTTTTTTTACTAGACTCTCCGGCTCAAATGGGTCTCTGTTCATTTAAGTTCTACGTGTCAATCAATCGACGTTCCTCGATCTGAAAGAATATTGTTTTGAAATGTACAGTAAACACGAGAGTCTGGTTGGCATGTTGAAGCCAATGATGATGTTCACTGGAACATGGAGACTGGATGAAACAAAATCCACCGTTCAATGGCTTTACTGGTTATACAGTCTCATTTTTCAGGGCTTCGGCTTACTATTTGTTGTCTTGGTAGTGACCAAGTTTATAGAATTTGTTCAATCAGGTGCAGACAGTTCGGACATCATTTCAGCCCAAGTTTATTTGCTATCGACCACTTCTATATCGGGCAAGGTCCTCATATATCAAGTTTATAAAGTTTCGGACATATTCAAAGCTATTCTGGATGAAGAAGAAAATCTGTGGCGATCCGAAGACCATGAATTTAAATCAGCATATCAAAGAGAAATCAAATACATCAGAAAATGGAATTGGGGAATTCTGTTAAGCAGTATGTTTACGGCGCTAGCTCTGATGTCAGCAGGTGTGGCTAGTTTGGTTCCTGTCGACAATTCTACAATTGACTCTGATACAAACCACAAAGAAGAATTTAGCATGTTCCCCATCTGGCTACCATATCGTCAATCAGATCATAGAGCCTCAGTGGTTGCTCTAAAATGTATACTTACATTCGTATGTGCTTCTTTGTACATAGTTTCCTGCATGATCTTTGTGGCATTAATGATTTATTCTGTTGGTTTATTGAAAATGCAACAGGAGAAAATTCGCAAGTGCGAGTGGAACTCGTATGACATGGCAGCAAATCCATCTGTTGATATGAAAGCTCTTATTATAAATAACCGGGGTGTATTCAGGTGAGATTCAATGAAGATCATCGTATAATTTTTAGCTGAAGCTGCAAAGAGCCTCTAAATTTATAATTTTCAGATTTATTAAGCATGTAGACAAATGTATTAGATATGTGATTTTGGTTGATGTTCTCCTGAGCTCCATTAATATTGCTTCTTTGGCGACGAATGCTTGGCATGTAAGTTTCAAAATACACGTTTTTTACCTAACAAATGCATTGTTCTCAAATGAGCTTTTTATTCCATCGAATTGAAATCAAAAATTGTAAAGCATACTTTTTCTTTTTTTAATTTTTACACAAATCGAAACTGTTTATATATACAGGGTGATTTATGGTCGATGGCGGATTAGATGTTTAAAGAGTGTGTATCCGACTAAAATATTTTTACCAATGCGTGGTTGCCGTTTATATCGAAAAGTATATTCAAATTTGATATTATTTAGAGAGACCCAGTATAAATATTAAATAAAATTCATTATTTTGAATCAAAACATAGGCCCACGGAATCGTATATTTCAACGCGATTTAGATACCGATAAATTTAAAATGTTGGTTCTGGGTTAGGAAAACCTTATGCGTACAGCAATTCGATCCAACTTATATATAAACTTAAACCATATATCATGTTTCGTATATAAAACATAAAATTTTCTCTTTCTTCTAAACGGTCAACTTTCCAAAGTTTCACTTAAAGTAATTAACGCAAAAAAATATGAAATACATTTTATTAGAATACTGGCCTCCTCCATCGTATTGTGAAAAGTTTTAAAATCCTTTTCTAGCTTCGGGTTTGTTAAAAATCTGTGTTTTTTAGATTTGCCTGCATTTTTTTCTTACTTGACTTTCCATTCAAAAACGCTCTATTTTGTAGAGTGTCACTGAAAGTGCTGACATTCTCGAGGTCTGTTACGCGAAAAATTACCACATAAATTTATAGCTTTATAGAAATTTTAAACAAACTTTTTTCAGTGTCGAATTCGGGACGAAAACTAAAATAAATTTGTTCCGTTTTTCTCCGAAAATCATTAAAATTTTCTCAAAAACCGAACACGAAACTAAAAGTTGTAATCAAAAGCGCAAAAACCGTTATTTTCTGATGAATTTATGACAATCATGGGGTCTTTTCAGCAAAAAAATTACAGAATTAATTTTGTTTGAAAATTCGTCTCATTCATCGCTTCGTAGGGATTTTTGTACATTGTTTTCAGCTTCTGATTTGGCTCAAAAAGCAAATAATTAGTTTTTTACCGACATTAGTTAGGTTTATTTCGAAAAAACGACGAGAGTGCAAAAGTTTACAAAAATCTATTTGGAAAATTCGCCACCCTCATCGATCTGAAGAAAGCTTAAGGTTCATCAAAATTTACAGTTTCCTTAAAATTTCAGGTCTTTCTAGTTTTAACAAAGTTCTTCTTACGCAATTCTTGTTAGGTTTTTTCCGAAAAAATATTTCCCCTAACAGAACACGCGAAAGTTCATATATAATCAATTATTTGGAATACTCGTCACCCTCACCGCTCTGAAGAATGTTTAAGGTCCTTCAGAGTTTACAGTTTTTTCCGTTTTAGGCCAACATCCAAAAAGACGGTATTTTTAAACAACTCTTTCTGGGAAAATGTTGACGATTTTTTCTATTTTTTTTAGTTGTTTGGGAAATGTGGCAAAAGGTTACTGATAGGAAATGCTGATTTCTGTTTGTTTTAGATGTTCCAATTCCATTTTCGGCTTTCGTAAAGCTTTAATCTGCTATAATAAATAACTTATATCTTATTAACCGGTGAGTTATAACTCAATAACGCGAAGAGCTGCAACAACTCAATAGCGCAACTCAACACAGTGCAGACCTACCTTTCATGGCTATTTTGACAAATAATCGATTTTTTTGCAAAAGTGTCCATTTATTTTGGGAATTTCATGTTTTAGCTACGATCCATTATATATCGTTTCCTGGGGAATTTAATGGTCTTCCCGTATTTGAGCTAATATGCAGGTTGTAATATTTGAAAAAAGAAAATTGGAGCAGTTTTTATATCTAGCCGAAAGAATCTACAATCTGTTAAGTTAGTTTTCTTAATCCAGAATATATTTTTTTAATTTCTAGGTATCTAAATCACGTTAAAATACAGGATTTTTGGGAACTCTGTTTTGATTAAAAATAATGAATTGTATTTAGCATTTCGGAAACCGCTTCAGGTAGATATCGGTATCGTTAAGCAAAAATTATCGGAGCTGTAAAGCCAATCAATACATTAGCAAAGTGTTTGTACTTTTACATATAAACGGCAACCTCCCATTGCTTAAAATATTTTAGGCCAAACAAGCACATCCGTGTTATAGTTTTTATTTAGTCTTGTCTACTATCCAGTCTTGGTTAATTTGAAATCAACCCATATGGTTATGTCACTAAATGCATTTTTTGCTGTCATCAAAAATTGTTTATTCCATTTTCACTTTTTGCATTCAAGTTAATTTCTACTTTTATCAATAATTCCGTTTTTAAATAAACATTTTTTTCTTCAGTTTCGAAGTGATGATTTCTTGTTTTCCATCTGTTTCTTACTAATGCAGATTGTGCAAGTGTTGGTTTTAGGATGGTTTGCGAATGACATCATAGTGCAGGTGAGAAGAAACAATTTAAATTGGCAAAGAATTTCTAAGAATTGTTGTTGCAGAGTAAGGCTACAGCTGATGTTCTTTGCAATATGAATTGGCATTATCTGGACATCAAAAATAAGAAAATGTTCCTTATGATGCTTATGCAATATCAGCATGTTTCAGTAATTTCCATTGGACCTTTTGGCCCGATGACGATTAAATCCGTTATCTCAGTAGGTGCCCAAATTGAAAACTCCCAGTTAATTTATATTCAGAATTTGTAGGTTATCAAAGCTGCTTACTCCTACATGATGCTGATGCGGACATACAAATAGTTAAATACGTTCAATCCTATTCACCCACTAAATATTAGTTGGAATGTACTTTAGCTGTAGCAACTCACTTTGATTAAAAGCCTAGTTGTCTATAGTAATTTTACTATAAGCTAAGTTTGAATAAAATTAGAACCAGCACTGTTGAACCGGTCCCCTTCTTCTGCCCACCTTTTTCTATCATGAGCCGTCTGTATCCAGTTTGTCGTGATTCTCTTTATATTGTCTGTCCAGCGAGTCAGCGGTCTCCCTCTACTTCTTCTGTCCGCTCGAGGCCTCCACTCCAGCAGCCTTTTTCTCCACATTCCGTCTGTAATTCGAGCCACGTGTCCAGCTCAGTTCCACTTGAGCCTGACGGTGAGTGAGCTGGGTCACATCGTCACTCCACAGGGCATGAAACCAAACCCCAGGAAAATAGCTGCAATTAAAAACTTTCCTTTACCAAAAAAACCAAAAGACATAAAATCATTTTTAGGATTGTTAGACTACTGCAGAAAATGTATAAAACAAATTGCCAAAATAACTAAACCCATGACACAATGCCTCAAAAAGAAATAGAAAGTTATTCACTCCAAAGACCTTCTCGATTGTTTTGAAATTTGTAAAACTATCTTTACCAGCGAGCCCGTTTTAGCTTATCCAGACTTTACGAAACCATTTGAGCTCAACACCGACGCATCAAATTTTGCTATTGAGAACGCCGAACCCAGTGGAAATCAATTATTCAACGATTGAAAAAGACCTTCTAGCTGTGGTATAGGGATATAAATATTTTAGACCAAACATATCTAGTTCCAAATTCACCATTTTGACCTACCACAGGCCACTAGAATGGGTATACTCTTTGCGAGAACCCAATAGCCGTCTTGTCCTATGGAGATTGAAACTGGAGGAATCGGACTACAAAGTGAAATAGAAAAAGGAAAATCTAATCAAGCAGCCGATACCCTATCGAGAAACCCTGTTACCGACATAAACGCTGTCGAAACCCAATCAATATGTAACAATGCCAATCATAGTGACCAAATAATTGAAGAATATCTAAACCACCCGGAAAATTTACCTACCGTATATATGTTACGGGCAACGTAATTATTTACGGCAGTATTCATAAAGCTTGGTTAATATAAATAATGACCATTAAAATTGGGCAATTTGATAAATTTCAATTACTGTACGATAATTTCTAACATTTCCCGGTTATTATAAATACCGCTTTATTTCTTTGGGCACTTTGATTAATTGATTAAATTAATTTTTTTTTATTAGTTTGTTATAGCAATCTAGTTTACACCAATAAGCTACTTTTCTTTAACCTAAACTACTAGATGTACATTTGCAAAGTGTTATCCTATGATATTAACTTCGGCTTTGTCATTGGAGAGTCACTATTTTAATGTGTACATATATAACTTCTACTTTGTTAAGAATCAACGATTAATTCCATGCACTAGTTCATAGGGTTTCACTCGATTTAGTCTTCTTGTTAAGCCAACGTTGTTCAAGAGCTGGATGACCACAACGTCGATGTGATTTTGTAGTCTTTGTTCATGACTTTTTGCACAATTTTTTATCACATTGTCCACTGTTTGCACATTTAGATCTTTATGGAGGATGTCATTCCGGATGTACCATGGCGCACCTACGATGCCGAGTAGAACTTTATTTTGATAACGTTGTATAATATTTCTGTTGCTTTGGCTGGTACAACCCCAGAGTTGACTACCATAACTCCACACCGGCTTGAGGA